CTGCTAAACATTCAATAATGTACAGTGAAGGATTATCTGACTCATACTGTCAATGATAGTACTAGTAAAGACATCTACACTAGGCCGGGAGGTGGTGGCACACGCCTTTAGTCCCAGCACTCAGGAGGCAGAGGCAGGCTGATCTCTGTGAGCTCGAGACCAGCCTAGTCTACAAGAGCTAGTTCCAAGGCAACCTCCAAAGCCACAGAGAAACCCTGTCTCGAAAAACCAAAAAAAAAAAAAAAAAGAAAAGAAAAAAAAACTTCAGTACATCAGTCACTCATCAAATGTGTGTTAGTGAGTGCTGCTACATGGTTGAAATCATTTCACCTAGATTTGCACATATGGCCTAATATATTCTCCCCAAATCTGAGTGGCATTTATATATGACTACAATACACACACATACACTCATGAACAAACACTCATGCACACATGTACGAACACACACAAACATACCTATGCATCCGTATTCATACTTACCTTCATAGGCCCAGAATACAAGTTAAGCAATATGCATTGTTAATAATGTCTGGCTCTTCCCCATTCTAAATGTTGATCAAATGCCTACTTTATAGATATGAACATTAAAATGCAATCTCACATAACCAGAAACTGGTAGGTATATTTTATATGATCTATGTTAATTCTTTTACCTGATCTGTTTAACCCTCTTGCCTACTAATTCACTGATGTGACTACCTCAAAAAATTTCTCAGTACCTCTCCACTGGCATAATAATAGCAGCTGCTCTCACGAGTCCTGACAACTATTGACCCTTCACTTCAAACCAGGTAGTTTTAGTCGTTTTCTACAGAGATGCATGGCCAGCTCTGACTTAGCTGCAGATTGCCATGGAAGTAGATATTCTGGACCAAGTGAGGAGGAGCAGAAGGTTCCTTATGTAAGGAAGTCAGCAAACACTTAGGAACCCTTGAGACTCACTCTGTGATTGTAAAGATGCCTTTAGTGGCTCTCCAAAGGGCTTTACTATTTACCTCACTTATAAGTGATATCTGTGCTAAAGTTATCACTCAGGGTGAATGGACCTTGGTGAATATGAACACTGGAAGAGCATGCTTTCTCTAATCAGTAAGACACTTGCCACTCCCACAGATAAATCCTCAGTAGATACTCTATAGTATTCTCTAGATGAGGAAAACAATCCTGGTATATACATTCAAAATAGAGAATCAGTATGAGGAGCCACCAGGATATAGAGTATAGTTTGTGTCAGTTTTTAAATGATTCGTTTGAGGAAGAAATTTACAAATTTAGAGGAGACATGTTAAACCTGGACCTAGGATAAACAGACTAGGCTATGAGTCTTATTTGCTTTTTGGTTTTGTAAATAAAGTTTCATTGGGATGTGGCTATATGCATTAATGTCCCCTTTTTACTGTATTATTACTGGCTGCCTTTATACTATGGCAGCAGAGTTAAGTAGCTGGTACAGAGGTTACTCTCTGATCCTCTACAGAGATACCTTCCTGATGTTTTTTTTTTTTTCTTATTTTGAACAATGGATTTTGTTTAAGTGCTCCAAAGAAGTCAAATGAGTATGAGGGGTTTATTGGGGAATCTGTACGATACCTACTCATTTAAGTATGGCAGATGCTTCAGGACTGACCCAGTTGTTCTGGACTGACCCAATTCATCCTTTCTGCTTACTTACTTTTCACAGGGACAACTGTGGAACATGCTAGGAATGTGCTATAAGGAAATAAGAAGTTACTGGCTAGAGCAACAAAGGCTCTGTTACAGTCCTTCCACATTTCAGGCTTGGAGTTCCATTTCCCCAGAAAATAAACCCAGGTGCTTGACACATACAGAGATGGGATTCCATCCAACACTGCTAGCTTAACCTGGGCCTTAAGAGACAGGCTCCCAATGAATCCTAGGCTTTTTCTCATCACCTGATGTATATCATAAGTCACAAATCCCCTTTATAGAACTTGGTATGTGTTGGGGGAATTTCTGTCTCACTGGGATCAAATATGTTGATAAGCAGTATATCACAAATCCCCTTCATAACTAGTATCTGGCAGAAAAAGTACAGTTCTAATAAGGCAAGAGAAGATATATAAAGAATCCAACAATTAAGCATGAAACTAATCTGTCTTAGTTCCCACAGAGGGTGGTCTAGACACTAAAAGCAATTCAGCCTAACACCATTTGAAGGCGGTCAGCTGTGGATGCAGAGAAATAAATCAGAGGCTTCTGGCAAAAGATGAGAGTAGCTAGTAATAGTCTGGTAATGGAAGAGATGGGGCAAAGTTGTAAGTTATTAAAATTGTAATGATATGACATTACTTCCAGAAAATATGTCTAGTTCTATGAGAGTGACTCATGTACATGTTAAAGGCTTGAGACTCTAAAAGACAGCACACATCACTCAGATGTTAGGATTTCACTTTATTATATTAGACAAAATGAGGGAGGAGAATAGCAACGTGACACAATGAGTATCTCAGTCTCTAGGGCCCCAGTGCATCTGCAGGACACATGACAAATGGTCAATAATGGAGTACTCTCAGTCTACCTGCAACGGGAATCTACTGTGCCATCATCTTGGAATGAACACACTAAAATAGGGGCTCATTTTTTCTTTCCTAGTTATTGTAAACCAGATGGCCAGGAGACGCTCATATATCAGTACTGCTTGTCTGCACACAGGGACTGTGGGGTGTGTGTCCTGCAGATAGTGCTAAAGCTGAGGATTTCATCCAGGTGATATTTTATAGTCATTGTTTGTCACATATCATGACCAAAACACTCCCTCTTGGGTCAGATCAGCATTTCTAATTCAAAAGGATGATTATGAATTACTCTCAACTACCTTCTAAAGAAGCATCAGAGAGACAAAAAGGATAAGTTTTAAACAGCTGAAGAATAACAGAAGGAGAGAGGTCAACTGACCACCATGACAACATCCAAGCCTCTGCATGTGAGAGTTGCATGAACCTCATACAGATGCATTAAAGGGAAACATCTCCCCTGCTGCCAGGGTGGGATGAGTGAAGGTGACCCAGATCCAGGACTTAAAATTGTGGCTCAGGGGCCGACTTACATGTGTTGAGGTGTCTACTACCACATCATTAGGAATCAATTCACAGCTATGTGTTCTTTCTTCTAGCAATTAAGAAAGTTATGTGTGTGAGTGTTTTGCCTTTATGCTTGTCTGTGTGACAAGTGCCTGCCTGGTGCCAAAGACAATATCAGCTCCCCTGAAACTGTAGCTGTCATCTTGGTACTTGAAAATGAACCTAGGTCCTTTGCAAGAACAAATTCTCTTCACTCAAGAACCATTTCTCTGCCCTGCATGCTATGTGTTCTTTTGAAGAAAGAAAAAGTCATCAAGGACCAAGGCTTCTCATTTCATTTTACTTGAACTTAGTTTCCCATTCTCAGTTTCCACCAAATCGAGACATGTCCTTCCCAAGGTAAGTGCCATGAGTCCCTATAGAGAGCAAGCCCAACATCAAATACACAATTATCCAAGGAGTTTACAGTAAAACCACACAAAATATAGCAAGCATTCTGCAATGGCATTTACATAGCATAGCCATTCTTCTCCCTCTTCCTTGTGAGTGCCTTACAATTTTATTCATTAATGTAAAGATATGAAAATTTCATCCAAAAGGTGAAAAAACATTGCAGAATAATTAAACACCTGCTTGTGCCTATGAATGCATATTTTTGGGTGCAGATGTGTGTGTGTGTGTGTGTGTGTGTGTGTGTGTGTGTGTGTGTGCATTTGAGGAAGATTTCATATATTCAAGTGTTGCTTCCTCTGATCTCTTTTAAGTAAACCCCTGGAGATTCAAGACAAAAAAATAGGATTGTGCCAGTTATAATATAGCCCTTGAAAAGTCCCAACATAGTAGAATACTAAGCTTTAATTGATGTGTAAATCCTATTTGAAATGTGATTATATCATAGTCCTGAACTCAGAACAAATTATTAGGTTCTAGGGTAAACAAAAAAGGGAGGTGATCTAGAGTCGATGTAAGCTCTATTGAAGGCAGTTGGTGATTAGGGATTACATCAACAACCCAAAGACAGAATTGACTGTCTTAGCTTTGCTTAACTCAAAGATGAATGGTGTATGCTGATGGGGGAGGTCCTTCTGTGCAAATGTTTGTCTTATTGGCTGATAAATAAAGCACTGTTGGCTAATAGGAAAGCAAGTTAGGTGGGACTAGGAGAGAAGGAGGATTCTGGGAAATGTGGGTTGCCATGCGATCCCAGGAAGAGAGGGTTCGTAAGGCTGGTGTCCTTGGTAAGATAAGTTTTTATAAATATACATAGATTAGAAGTTATGGTTGATAATTAAGACTGAGCTAGCAAATAAGAAATCCTAGTCATTGCCCAGCAGCACTGTAACTAATATAAGACTCTGTGTGTTATTTGGGGCCCTAAAGCAGAGGCAGAACCCAGGCAGTTGATGGAAAGAGTTAACGTTAAAGTATACCATCTTGCAACAGTAAAAGAGACACGCCTTTTCAGAGAATTAACTTCTTTCAGTCCAGATAGAGATGAGAGCTGCTCCACAAGAATGCCCTCACAGAGATACTTTGATTACCCAGGTTTATCCTCCACTATCTATTGAACAGTGAAATTATATGATGTACACAGCAAGGGTGTGTTAGGGGAAGGGATACATGCATATACGCATAAAGGCTAAAGGAGAGCATTCAGCATCCTCCTCTATAACTCTCTGCCTTGTTGTTTTGATGCAGGATCTCTAGTTAAATCTTAAACTCATCTTTTTGGGGGCATGGGTTAGACTATACTTGACTTTGATGTGGATGCTAGGATACAAATCCTGGGCCTTATGTTTGAACAGTGTGTGTTTTTCATCATTCAGTTTCCTGTCTCTCTCTATCCCCTCAATGATGCTTTTCATGGAACTGTCTTCTCTCTAGTCTTACCATGACAATTATAAGGGAAGAAAAAAGAAATTTATTTTCCAGGTCTCCTCCCATATACATCCATACCAGCTGAAAGCCAATAGTGAAGACTCCCTTGCATTCACCTGCACTAATAGCCCAGTACAGAAACTCTTCAGGATGGCTGTCTCCAACCATGCTTAACTTTTGCATAGGATCTGTTTGGGGACAGAGCTTTTGAAATTGAGAAGTGCACTGTGCCTCTCAGGGGACTATCGGTCCTAAATTATATCTCCTAGACTGCTGATGAGTCCACAGCACATTCACAAGCAGGTTTATGCTTCTTAAGGACTTGCTCCATGAACTTCGAAATGAGGGGGATCAAAATCCATTACAAGATCCTTAACTTGACTGTGATTCTTTATTTTACTAGACTCAAACTGAAGTCATAAAATTTTTTCAGGCAAATGTGCAGTGTTTAGACACTGCTTGGGACATCCTGACAGACACTAGATAAATACATCAGGCATTGTTCATCCTTCCAGGGTTATAAAGTAGTCTTTGGCTTGTTGACAATGATTTGGGACAAAAAGATGTTGATAAATTCTAATGGCTCACTAGCTATTCATCCTGGGGCAAGTTGAATGGTAAAGAAGATGAAAAGAAGAGAAGAAATCAGTATTTGTAGTATCAAGTTTCACTTAGCAAAATAATTCATTACAAAATGGTGAGCCCAAAACAAATAAAAATATGCAGACACCCCCAAATTGATATTCATGTATGTGTGTAGGTATTATTTCCATGTAATATTAGTGATAAATATTTACAATTAGTCCAGGTATTGGAGGATTCATTATGTACCCTTTAGGACAGAAATTTGCAGGGCCTTGGCCAAAGATAGAAAAAAAATATGGTTATATGAGTCCTGTACATTTATTTTTTCCTCCTCAAATTATATGCTAAACCCCTTAGCCTTGTGGTGGAACTTGGAGTAGGGGATGTTAATTGGTAATTAGGTAACATGAGTGGTACCCTGTAAAAGAAATACTGGAGAGGTGACCTTCTCTTCATACTGCAATAAGGACACAGAAAGGAGCAAACATCTGCTAATCAGGAATTAGGCCACTTTCATAAATTGAAATTGATTTAGCATCCAGAACTATAAAAAATAAACATTCATTGTCCCAGTAGTACAGTTTGTTATACTAAGTCATAGCAGATGAAACTGACTGACATTACTAGTATATTTAGGCAAATGGAATTGAAGAGATAAAGGCTAATAGGAGAAGGTTAAATTCTAAAACTCTTAGTTTGGAAATGAAATGTGTTGACTAGAAGAGGAAAACAGCAAGAAGGAAATGGGGGATTATTGTATTTCATTATTTGTATGTATTAAATTCTCAAAAATAAATAAAATTTTAAGATAGAAATATTTGACATAAAAAAATCTTAAAAATTAGCCAAGTAGTCTATATTCTAAAACCCACTAAAATTGTCAAAACCGAAATACCCATATGTTAAGGTAGAAACAGTCTTGAGCTCTGTATAGCCAACACATACAAAGCATTTTTAAGTTTCAATAACTGAGTAAATCTTAAATATTATTTTCTCTTCTTCCCAAAGAGCCATCCCAGAAGCCGTCAGCAAATGTTTCCTTCATGAAGATGACAGAAGCATCATTTCCCAAATCCTCAAATATGGTGGACTTATTCCTCAACACTTTGCTGTGTGCTGACTTTAAGGATGTTTCTTCAGGCACATATCTAGAGACAAACATCTTAGCAAGTTAGCTATAGACCAGACTTATTTCTTAGTAGGCAATAAGAAAAACTTCTGGTTCATTGTCAATGGATGGGCTATGCCATCTCTGCTTACCAGACTAAGAACAAATGATCCAGTTATCTATAGCTGAATGCAGGTACCTCCACACTGGTTCTGAATCTGGAAGGAAGAATTATTCCAAAAGTGCTAAAAATTATTGCTTTTGTTAATTGGATATGCATTATTTGTTTTTATAGCTTAGCATATAAATTGCACAATCCAATGGTTTCATCAGGCCTTCACAATATTGTATTTTTAAGATAGATAGTATATAATTTCCATATGAATTTTTTCAATATTTGAGATAATAAACAAAGGTCTTTCATAAATTGTGGGTGTCTTAAGGCTGTGTGAGTGTATGTGTGTTTGTGGGAGGGATCATTTATGTAGCCCAGACTGCCTAGAACTTGTGATTCACTTGCTTATACTTCCTTAGTTGTTGGGATACAGCTGTATACATTGAGGGTTGTTTGTAAAATAAAAAAAAGAGTAAAACATCAAATATCTGGCCAATAATTACTTAGTAATATGAGGCTGAAGTGACAAGGAGACAAAGGGGGTAAGTTCTGTTGGCCACAGTCCTCATTATGCCCTACCACTTAGCAGAGACAAAGGGAAATTCATTAAACTTCCTCAACTCCTTTTTGGTATAGTAAAGAATAACAACCCTTTTCAATTACAATAACAACAACAGCAAAGACCAGGAATGGCACAGGACTCAAAAGAAGTAAATAAAAACATATTTTAATGTTCTATGTCATTTTAATAACTTATATTATCTGGTTTCCCCTGTAGAATTGATTGGGTTTATTTACCACTTAATGTAGTACAGCAATCTCAAGCCTTTGAATAAGGCTGGTCTGACTTTGAAATTTTTCTGTCCTGTGTTCTTGGCCATATTTTATATAGAATCTGTAGGAATCAATGTTTCCCTCTTCACTGCTGGGGAAATATTATCTACCAGAAAAAACTGTTACAATGACAGAACAGTATATGCAGGTATCTAGCACATGTTCAATAAACTCACTATTCCCTTTGAAGTGTTGGGATAGATTAAGTAGCATGAATCATGAAGATCACACGTGCCGCTAACGAGTCTGCCAAAAAATAATGACCCAACTTCTGCTTCCAAGAGATAGTTCGACTCAAGATTTCAGAGTATCTTTCAAGGACTGAAGCTCAACAGCAAAGTCTATCTTGCTGGACTGCCTTATAAGAAGGATTACCTTTAAGTGTACTTCTTTCTATAGTCTGTGGGGGTGGAGTAGCAGCATTCATTTCAACTCAGAGATGCAGCAACAGAAAATGCACTCTAAGACAATAACAATAAGAGTAACACATACTAGTAAAGATAATGATAATAAAGTCTATTAATTGAAAGTCGCCCAACAGCCAACTATTTGATACAAAAGAGTTCTTAAAAATTACATGCAAACACACTTTTAGTTCTCTGTGTTCATATATCTATATGGCTATAAGCATCAAGAAAAATTTAATGTAGGTCGTTGCTCTAGCACAACCATTTAATATTGAGTAAAAATGATATTGAAAAATATTTTAGTTATATAACATACTGTCAAATAAATAAAAATCATTTATTGCAATGTAAGAGCCTGAAAAACAAAATTGCTACTCTGCCACACAGAGGTTTAAGTAGGCCAATAAATCATAGATAACCCATTCCATTGTGAATTTCAAGCCTGCTAAAAGATGGACACAAACCAAGGGCCAGAAAACTTCATTGCTTATGGAGTGTGACAGACAACGGCTCTGAGGTGAGACCCAGACCTGGCAACAAATCAGTTTTCCTCCCACATCTCACTGCCTTTGCAAAGATGAATCAAGAATGGGTACCTCAGCTCAGAGGGGAATAGACCTGGGAACAGGAAGAAAGGAAGAGAAAGCATAGTCTAGTTTCATAGTCATCTAGTCCAGTCTCATCTAACAGATAAAAGATGGAAGAAAGGTACACATGTTGCCCTGATCATTTCTTTCAAGGGAGTGAAGAAGATCTCACAGTAAGGAGATCATGACTTATACAGAAGAAACTTTAATGAATCCTCTATAGGCAATCCTTCTAGCACAGACTGACACCAGGGAGGACCTGAAGTGCCAAACCTCAGTTATCTAAAGAGGATATGTTGCCTGAAGCTGGGTGTACATCTAAAAACCTGGGAATACCCACTCTGCAGTCACTTTGGCTCTGTGTGAACTGTTAACAACTACCATTATTTACCGCAGAAAAAAAGATTTATCAGTATGCAGTTGATATCTTAGTGGTTTGGACACTGGGATGTAAAAACTGTTGTTAGAGAGAGGAATCTTATATATGACTTATGAGCAAAGGACATGACAATTTCAATAGCCAAAATTCAGCACGGCAGTAGAAGTTCATATTGCAGACTTCTCTCTTCTTCCTTAGAGACCTGCAAGTCTTCTCTGGTGTCATTTATGTGATGAACTAGCACAAAACTCCTTTGTGAGTCCAACTATGCTGTCAGCTTCAAGTCCTGAGGGATGAATATAATCACCATATTTACTGTGATGGCCCAGGCAATAATCATACCACTGCCTCTAATGAAACTAAAGTGCACGTGTCATTTTGGAGATGTGATTTGTTCAGGCAGAGTTGCCTGTCAGCTGTCTCTGGCCAAACTGTATAACCTGCAATTTAGTTAACAAACTGAGACATCACAGAAACAGTGCTCTTAACCAGCATCTTTGATTCACTTGGATTTATTGCCTGTCTTACATGCATCTTGAAACTTTAGCAGAGTGGCATTAGTTGCTGAACAGGCAGAGTTGAATAGACAAGGAAAAAAGTTGGTGAAGTTCTAAGGTATTCTGAACTACAAGTGCAAAATCTGCCAACTCCTTTCCTTGAAGCCAATAATCCCATTGTTGGCCAGAGGGCAACAATGTTACTCTTCAACCTGGTATCCTACATCAACATACTAATCTACATTCCCTGCAATCCAGTGAACTCTCTGAACCCTCTGCTCCATTCAGAGTCAGTGATTAATCTAGCATTTTTCTCAACAAATGTAAGTTAAGTACTCGTTTGTGTGTGTATGATGCTAAGCATTAATATCTAACTGAACAAAATGATTTCTAGTATTCACATACCTCTGTCCTGATGATAGTTATCAAAAAAAGTGCACTGGGGGTGGAGAGGCACCTCAGTAGTTAAAAGCACTTGCTGCTCTTGCAGAGAACCAGAGTTCTGTTCTCACACCTAAACATAGTGACTCACAATCACCTGTAAACTCCAGCCATCCCAGTGAATCCAATTCCTTTCACTGGAATTCTTCACAGGTACCCACAACCACGTGTGTATACAGAGAGGAAGAGGGAGAGGGAGAGGATTTTTTTTCTTT